TAACAGAGACCTAAACAATGTCGCTGGCAATATGCAATAGCTACCACGGGCAATTTAAAACCTTTGGGAGGAAAATAATTATGTTCCCCAACCGAAGTTGGGGAATATATTGTTTTTACTCTGTTTCTTATTAAGGTCTTCCGTCTTCACGGAAGACCTTATAGTGATTCTACTGTTTCTTATTATTAAGGTCTTCCGTCTTCACGGAAGACCTTATAGTGATTCTATTGTTTCTTATTAAGGTCTTTCGTCTTCACGGAAGACCTTATAGTGATTGTACTGTTTCTTATTATTATTCTTTTTTTTTGACAAAAATTTTGTGCACGCGATTTCTCGAAAACTATTCAGCGGTTTCTCATGAAACTTTCACAAAATATGTGTCATTATATGAAGTTGTTACATCCGAAGAAAAATTTGGAAAATTCGCTTCTAGTGCCAAGTTATGGACAATTTCCTGATTTTAAAATGCGATTTTGTCGCGCACTTTTATCGAAAATGGCTAAGGATATGAACTGGAGACTTATTGGAGATGATAGATCATGACTTTCTGGATTGCAGAATTACCTTTTCGTGCGTCGTCAGTACTTCCGGTTGTTACGAGATGCAAATTTAAAAAAATCGTATTTTCTAACTTTTTTGTTTTTCAGTATTTTTCATTTATTTTTGGTATCTTAATAGAAATCCTCCTTATTATACTTACTATTTAATTTGTTTGAATGTTGATAACTCTAAACTCTAGATATTAGCATTCAAAAATCTGAAGCGGGTCCAAAATGGCGGCTGTCTCAGTCAACGCCGACATTTCGCAATAGTGGTTTATGGAGTCAGCTGTGCGTTTGCTTGAACAAAAGTAACATAAGTGTAAATGGAATGTAAAGGAATACTTGGATTGTCACGTCGTAGTTACGTTGCAGTTCTGTGTCAAACTAACGTCTTCTATAATTGGTTTTGGCTGGTTTTCAAATTAGAGAAAGAAAAGACTAAATATGCAAATGAAATTCGATACCTAATATCTTTTGTGCATTACAGAAAAACAGATCTTAAATCATACTTATAAGTAATACATTCTCAAAAAAGAATATCAATTAATATTGTCAGTATATATCTCAACCACTCGGTTTTTCCTATGCACACTTGTGTCATATTAAACTAATAAATTTTACAAAAATAAGAAAACGTTTTTTTAAAATATAGCCTCATGGAGTTTATTTGAGCATTCTTCTCTCAAAGACCTGATTCAAGTTATTTAGCAGAAATGATATCTGATTCCTTGACCGTCGTAGGGCGAGACATGTTTTTCGGCGAAACGTTTCAACCTTTTTCGATTAACTAATCGGGATAATTCACTATGGGGAGAAACAGGAAATTGAAAAAAATTCATAGCTTTAGTGTTACATGCATATATACAATTGGAATTTGTAAAATGTATTAAATATACTTTCTGAACCTCGATTCTTAGGCTATAAGAACGTTGTTTTCTTAATTTCATTGAAGCTATCACACCTATTTAAAAGAACATTCCAAAGAAAAGGGGCAAAGATTAACTCGTGGCGTTTGGCGCTAAATTTTGAATAGTGACCCGTCTTTCATAATTTTAAGAGAGAAGCACTGTTTCGTTAATATAACAAGTAGATTTAGAGTAGAGGTCCCGATAGCGTTACATTTAGTGCGTTGGAATTTCATGCTGGCGACTTGGGTTCAACCCCCCTTGTGTGCAATTTTTTTTTTACTTTTTCAGCTCGATTTAACTTTTTTCTTTCCGGAATTGGACGGAAGACCTCTCGTTGCTCGCAACGAGTTTCTCATCTAGTTATTATTATTATTATTAAGGTCTTCCGTCTTCACGGAAGACCTTATAGTGATTGTATTGTTTCTTATTATTATTATTATTATTATTCTTTTTTTGACAAAATTTTGTGCACGCGATTTCTCGAAAACTATTCAGTGGTTTTTCACGAAACTTTCACAAAATATGCGCCTTTACATGAAGTTGTGCAGTCTGTAATTGTTTTTGGAAAATTCGCTTCCGGTGCCAAGTTATGGGCAATTTCCTGATTTTAAAATGCGATTTTGTCGCGCACTTTTATCAAAAATGGTAGAGAATATGAACTGGAGACTTATTGGAGATGATAGATCATGACTTTGTGGTTTGCAGAACCGCCTTTTCGTGCGTCGTCAATACTTCCGGTCGTTACGAGATGCAAATTTAAAAACTCGTATTTTTCAAACTTTTTTGTTTTTCAACATTTTCTATTTATTTTTGGAATGATAATAGAGACCCTTTGATCGATGCTTACTATATACGTTGTTTGGATTTTGGTTAATCAGAACTCCAGATATTAATATTTGAAAATCTGAAGCGAACCCAAGATGGCGGCTGTCTCTGTCAACTCCGCCATTTTGCAAGTAGGGGTTTATGGAGGCACCTGAGCGTTTGACTAAATGATACATGAAAAGTAAAAAAACTACGTGGACTTTCACCTAGTAGTACGCTGCAATTCAGTGACAATCTAAAAACTTAATTTCCGTTTTATTGCTTTAGTGTAATTGTGCTAGATACGTGTGTGCAATGTGTTAAATTTACTTTCTTAACGTCGAAATAAAATAAAGGCGATAAGTGGAAGTTGTTTTATTTAATATTTAATTTCATTGAAGCTATCACACCTATTTGATAGATCAGTCCAAAGGATAGGCA